CTCATCTGATTAGAAGCCGTATGAATAAGGCCTTGCGAGCTAATGCTTCTCTTCCATACCCACACTTCATAACTACTATTTTGAAACATTTCAATGTTCCTCTGGAGGATGAAACATGGGTTCCAGTGAAAAGGGTCTTTGAGATTGGGGCAAATGCAATTGCTTCCTTTGGGTACAAGAAAACACTGGAAAATACCTGGGTCAGGAAGTGGGATTTTCGAGCAGTTGACCCTGATGAAAGAACTCCGTCACCACTTCCTCAAGATCCTTCATCAGCACTTCTCTCGGATGTTCTCAATGAAATTAGAGATCTCCGGTTCTATGTTGGTGAACGTTTTGATTCTCTTGACACTCGCATGACTCGTCTTGAGGAGGAAGTAAAATCTCTTAGACGCCCTTCCGTGTAGCTAGTTGACTATGACTCTGTTAGTTGTTCTCTTAGTTTATCTTCTGTTTTGGGCTATTGTTAGTTAAATTCTGAACTTTTTGATTAGTATGTTCTAGGATAATTCTGCACGTTTAACTCTGATTATTTTGCTATAGGGACATATTTGACTTTTGGGTCTGAATGGTGTTTGTTTATCTCATTCTATATATTTTATATATTGTCTCATTCCTTTTGATGTTGCCAAAGCGGGAGAGGAAAGGAAAGAAGAAAAAGGGATAATTTAATTCTGATCAAAAAATTGGATATTTTGATTTGAACAAATTAACCAGGTCACTACAACTGTCTATTTCTGATCAATTTTTTTTTTATATAAAAAATTAACATCAAACAATGATTTATTAAGGGGGAGACTAAGGGGGAGTGATCGATATACAATGTTTTTTTTTTGTTTCTTTCCATCTACAGTATGTTGTCATCATCAAAAAGGGGGAGAATGTGGAAGATCGTATGTAAAGGATTTTGATGATGCCAAAGAAGTTAGAAAAACTAATAAAGAGAAGAAAAATTAGATAACTTAATTCACCCCCCCTCTTAAGTTACACGAGGCTACTTGACTAACAAGCTCCATCCTCCAATAATATCCCGTGCATGCATGTGGATGGGCTAATGCCAACAATGTCAGCCAGGGTCCAACCAATTGCTTTCTTGTGCTTCTTGAGCACATGCAACACCTCTCCTCTTGATTAGCATCAAGAGAGGTGGAAATGATCACAGGAAATCTCTCATCATCCTCTAGGTAAGCATACTTGAGGGTCTTTGGAAGAGGCTTCAACTCTGGTGTGGGTGCTAGCTGAACATCAGAAGGAGCCAGAGAAGGGAGAAGAAGTGGTTCCGTAGCCTGTACCTCAACCTGCAAGTCAAATTCTTTTGTACTTCCTGCAACATGGTTAGTGCATTTTGACTCCATAAAATCAAGACCAAGAGGTACAGCACCCAAAGTATCAAATTCAGATTCCTCATCATAATCAAATTCACACTCATACTCATATTCAAATTCAGACTCAGACTCAACGCATGAAAGGAAGTTATACAAATCAAATAAAAATGAATGTTTCTTAACATGAGAAGAATCAAAATCATGAATGTGCTCGTCAACTAGATCATCAATCAATTCAACATGAAAAATAGAATGAGCTTCAGAAGGAAATTTCATGGCATCCAAAATATTAAAATGAACAACAATATCACCAAATTCCATAGACAAGGTGCCATCATAAACATCAATCTTGGTTTGGGCTATTTTCAAAAATGGTCTACCTCAAATGATTGGGGCAGAACCATGGGAGAATCCCCCCTCCATATCAAGAACATAAAAATCTGCAAGAAAAATAAGTTCACCAACCCGAACCAAGACATCTTCTACAAAACCTGTGGGGTGGGCAACACTCCTATTGGCCAACTAAATGACCATACCTGTAGGTTGCAAAGGTCCAAGAGACAGAGAATTAAAGATAGACAGAGGCATGACATTAATTGAAGCTCCTAAATCAAGCATTGCAATTTCAAATTTACTGTTACCAATAATGCAAGGTACACAGAATGTACCTGGGTTGTTACATTTTTCAGGAATGTGTGGAACAGATTTACCTATGAGAGCTGAGACATTTCTGCCCATGCTGATTCGCTCATTGCCCTTCAGCTTCCTCTGTGGGTGCACAACTCTTTTAGAAACTTAGCATATTTAGGAATTTGCTTGATGGCATCCAGCAGAGGTATGTTCACCTCCACCTTCCTGAAGGTCTCCAATATCTCCTTATCCACCTCTTCCATCTTTTCGCTTGGAGTTGACTTTGGTGGAAATGGAAGAGGGATAGGAGGCTGATGTAGATCATCATTGTGTGCACTAGAAGAAGGTCCACTTGTATGAAATTTTCTGCCACTACCTACAGGGGCGACCTTTTTCTCAAGTGTAGGCTTAGGTGCAGGTTTAGGTACAACTATTTGTTTTCCAGACCTCAAGGTGATGGCACTCATGCCTTTTGGATTCTGCACAGTCTGTGAAGATAGCTTATCTAAATTTTGAGACTGGGCCTGATTGAGTTAAGTGGCCATCTGACCCATATGATTTATCAAACTTTGAATGGAAGCTCTGGTCTCTTGCTGAAACTACATGTTTTGGATGTTCATCTGCCTCACCATCTCCTCCAATGAAGGCTCAGAAGAAGTAGAAGGTTGAGTTGGTGGAGGTGCAGATGTAAGAGATGTTGAGATTGGGGGAGATTGAGACTATTGAGATCACCTCTGGAGATTAAAGGTTTTGATGATAACAAATGTGTGGAACAAAGTTGACCAAGGACATCAACAACTTAGAAGTCAAAAACAAAGTCAAAGAAAAGTGTTATGTAATAGGAGTAGCTTATAGATTGCTTTCATTTAGTTTATTTGTTTTGTGTGTGCTTTATGCTTTGGCTAATTTGTATCTAATTTGATTAGGAGTGTGTATGATGATGAGTTTAAAAGGTTAAAAAGTTATTTTGAGACTTAAAATAGAGTTTTGAAAACTAAATCAAAATAATCGATTACCATTAAATATAATCGATTATTCCAGCAATAAGCAAAGAGGATGCCTTTCTGCAATAATCAATTATTTGTGAAATAATCGATTATCCCAGAAATGACTCTCTGGAATAATCGATTATCCAGCAAAATAATCGATTAAATGTTTCTTGATTAATTTCTAGAAATCATGAAGAACAAAATAATCGATTATTCTTTAAAATAATCGGTTATCTAGTTCTGAAAAATTTATAAATAGTTTGACCATTTTGAAACTTCAGAACAGAGTTAGAATTGAGAATCAAAATTAGAAAAACGTGTTTGTGAAGTCTTTGTGACAATCTTGGGGAGTTTTCTTTGTGAAACCAAGAAGAAAAACGTTTTTGAAATGTATTGAGAAAAGATCATCATCATCACATTCTTGAAAGGAAAGAGATTAAGATTTGCTTCTGAATTCCAGGTGATTTCGTTCCTTAATTCTTTGTGAATACTTGTAAATCTTGAGTGGGTTTCTCAAGTGGTAAGGAGTTCTTGTAGTGGGTTTCTACAAGGGGTGTTTTCTTGAGGTCAAGAAAGTGGTTATCTTGAATGTAGGAGTATATGCATGTATGGTATGCTTGTAAAACTTCTTCATTAAGATAGTGGAACAAATCTTGATTAGGTTATGATTGAGGACTGGATGTAGGTCACATGTGGAGTGGCTGAACCAGGATAAAAGTTTGTGTAATATCTTGGTTGTATGTAAAGGAGATCATTCTTGATTAACATGTTTGCATGAGCATTATTGATCTAAACTGAATCAAAGTATTGCATATTGATTGTACGTAACATTGAATCTCATTAATTATTAATCAAGAAAGCATATAGGATTCATTCTTCATTAACATGTCTTTAAGAAACTTATTTGAAAATTCATTTTAGAAAAGTTTGAATTGAAATAAA